GACAGGCCACGTGGTACTTCGTACCCTTCGCGTTTGAGCTCGCTTCTCAAAACCATCACGGAATTAATAGAGTCGTGAAGATTCATTTAAATATAATGAAAATTATTTCGGTACATCTCGCTTCTCAAAACCATCACGGAATTAATAGAGTCGTCTAGATTTATTTAAATATAATGAAAATGATTTCGATACATTTACTTTACATTACATTTACATATACATCCGAAAATTAATACGATACATTTTTAGTGTTTCAAGAATATACTGATTACTTGAAACCATTATGGCCTATTATTAGCAACACCGTGCCGCTCCTATGGATCTGCTCTGAATGTGATGCTTCAATAACATTTGCTTTATAACTTATCCTCGAGCCATGCTGGATGGCGATTGAACGATTGAGTGCAATCGTAAAAGATGAGGCGACAAAGGTAGGAAGTCGTCCTGCTTACATGCGCAGCACTTGCTCGCCGACTTAAGACATTGGTTCATTTTTAATGTGCTGAAGTTTCCCAGTAATATTCTCTCCGGGGTAGAAAGCTTGAGTTAACGTTTCAAGCCCTTTTTCATACCTTTTTTATTGGAAAAAGAATACTTTGAAAGTTCTAGGATATTTCAGAACAGTATTTTATCTGTAAGAAACTATACATTAGAACCTCTTTATACACACGGGAAATCAGTATTTACATCACAATTTCTTCGAGGTTTAACGGAGCCAAGGCCGAATTAAGCATGGAGCCATTCTCCAAAGCCACAAATTTCATGAAAATGTAAAGAAAGACCGAAACAAAAAACCGAAATAGAAAAACAGAAATAAATGAAGGGAAAGTGGCGGAAAAGGCGGTCAAATGCCGCATACTCTCCATATCGTCGAATTTCAGAGTGCGGCCCAAGAAAATCCCTTGCATAGAGACCGGGCTCGAAAAAGATGACTATAGATATTGTCATAACCAGTAACCCTTGCTCAAGCATTCCCTTCTTAAGAACGCAATCGGTGGGGGTCTGTCTTTCCAGAAACCTGCAATTGGATCGTTTATTTAATGTGTATGTTTGTATTCGCCGAACTCAAACTCTCGCATCCCGCGAGTTACGTTTTACTTTCTCGCCCTTTATTCGTAAGAAAAAGTATTGTCATGGTGCAAAAACGGCGAATTTCGACAGAAAATCCGTCTTCCGCTTGCGCTCAAAGCTGGTACGTAAAACGGTTCAGCCAATTTTCTGCAAAGTTGGTATTTCTCAATCAATTTAGAGGAACACAATACCATCAGAGTTTGAATCGAATATTTTGATTTTGAGGCGTACTTTACATAAAAACACAAAATATTTGTTTTTCAAAAATGGCTCTAATCTTTTTTATTAAACTTCGTCTTGGATGGTGTAAAGGACGCGTAAGATAATGGTGCTGATCTCAGCGTCATTGAAGTCTTTGATTTTTTGAAAATTCCAAAAGTTCAATTTTTTATCTGCGACTAGCTCAATAATATCGAAGATGAAGATTTTTCGCTTAGCGAAATATATTCTTAAAAGTCATATCTTCAAATAATGGCGTATACATTTTTTCTAAAATTACTCATTTTCCGTTATTTTACGTGAAATATAAAATTGCGTTAATATCCTTTCTAATGTTTTTAAAATAATTATTTTCTCAAACATTGATCACATTTTTCTTTACATTTTCTCCTCGTGTCTATCAAAAAGACTGTAAATAAAGTGGCGCTAGTCTCATTTTCGGTAAGCACACTGTATTTTCGAAAATCGCAAAGCTTTCAAAACTGCAAAATTGATGATCGAGATCTTTGTGATAAAACGTGTTTTAAAAATTAAGACCTTTAAGGAAACAATACGATTTTTTGAAAAAAATATCAAGTAGTTTTTTATCGTAATTTGTGCTTGAAATTAATGCAAATTATAAGAAAACATTTACGAAAAGTCCTGTCACCGTCAGGATTCAAACCTAGGCCCTCCCGGCCAGAGGGACTGCAGTGACATCAATTGACTGAGTGGCGGAATTGAGAGGCAGGGGAAAGGAAGGCGCGTGTGTGTTTGCGTTGCAGGTGGGGCTGGAGATCGAGGCGCCGGGCGTGGGCAAGACCAAGATCTCGATGCCCAACCTGCCCAAGCCGCTCACCCTCGAGGAGAAGCGCTACCTGCTGGCGGTGGAGCGCGGGGACCTCGCCAACGTGCGCAGGTGAGGCTCTGCCCAAGATTGATTGATTGATTGTGATTCTGGGCGCGTCAACTACAGAGGTCATTAGTCACGTACGTCTAGTGTATTTTTTTTCATCGGGAGGTGGCTGTGATCTTCCCCCGCTGGATGGCGAGATCCGGCGCCGACCTACCGTCGACTAAAGGGTTTTTCCCAATCAGATATCTCTCACCAGCGGGACACCGCCCCAGCCGGAACAAGCTCTAAACTCCCGGCCGGTCTTCCTGTATGTGTGGTAGTGCATGTAAGTGTGTGTGTAATTTAGGGGTGAGGATAGGACAAGGAAGAGGAACGAAAGATTGCGCGCGGTCCGTGGCCCGTTTGTTAGGGTGCTGCTCAAGCATTCGCCTGGTGTTGACCGGAGAAACTAGAGAAAGTACCGATCAGAGCAGCCGACCGCTAAGATTCTCCTCCATGCAATACCTGAATTCGACCTAGCTGACAAGCTAGTGTCTAAAATCCTGCCACCGTCGGGCATGGAGAGGTACTTTAGTGACCCCGTCAGAGGTACTTTAGTGACATCAGTTGATGCAGTGAGTCATCTCTCCAGGTCGTTCTGCCCAAGTATTCGTCCTAAGGCCGACTTCACACGGAGCCACTTGGTGGCGCCACCCACCGAGAAGTGCCGGGCTCCTTCACATGCAGCCCTGCGCCACCGGCCGTGAGAGAGGAAGGATTCGCGAGTAATATAGCGCTTCACAGGGCGCCGACGACCGCCAGGCAGTCAACTTTAAACAAGCTCAGTGGAGCGTCAAATGGCCTGGTGGGAAGGCTGCTTTTTGTGTGCTGTTGGTGGCGCGAGTGCGCCACTAATCACCACAGCAGCACCACTTTGTCCCTCTTGGGAATACCTCAGATTAAAATAATGTACAAACCCCTTCGCGCACAGACCTTCTACAAGGAAGTGCTGCGAAGTGGCTTCCTGTGAAGGGGCTGTAAGTCTAATAAATGGAAATAGTTCCAACGGACGGAAGAATTTGCTGCTAACGCTGCATACCTAAAATACTACATTCTCTAGAATCGCATTTATCCAACTAGAGCTGCCCACCCATTTGTTCTTGCGTGATGGTAATGTAGTGTTCGCAACACACACCGTCGCCACAGCCTGAAACAAATTTCATTTACCCTGATCACGTAACTTGTTACGAGACTCGTGATTGCGCAGGACAACTGTAGTGAAGTAGGTTTTCTGATAAAGCTTCATCCTATCAGAGTTCGCACGTACGCAGAGACAGAAAAGTGAACTCATACAAATCTAGGAGATGATAAAGCTACGTGGATGTTTCCCTCTTTGTCCGTACCATTAGAGCCAACCACATGAAAATAATCAGAAACGTTTTTGAAAATGTACTCCCCTTGTTCAACCTACGTATAGGCAAATTTATTTCGCTATTTTCATGAACGAATTAACGAACTCAGAAGGGTTCAATGACTAAGTTGCCGCTGTCCGTTTACACATTTCCGTTGGCAGAAAAATTTAATTATTCGAATCACGTTATTTTGAGAGACCCATGACCCTTCGAGGACTCAACCGTGCCCAGTAATTTATATGGAATGTGGATGCGGATTTTGGAGCATTTCCATTAACGGACCACGAACCATCTGCTCTTTGTCCCGTTCCCCACTCCTCTTCGAGAACGCACAACGATAGCGCAGGCCAGTAAACAATTCGCGAGCATAGGATGGGACATGGCGGCTTTGTTAGAGCGAGCCGTGAAAAGGAAACCTCTTCGATGAACGAACATCTGCATTGGCATCGAAACGCCATTTCTCCAAACACAGGTATCTTTCATTGAAAATGTCAGTATTAAAGTCTATACTGTTTCTAATTGTAGTCTGTAATATTGAAATATCATTACAATCACTCTCCAATCCACGGTTGGGAGTGTGGCCTGTTCCACCGCCGTTAGCCGTTATAGGAGTAAAGGTACGACGAACGGGTCCCAGTGCAGATCGGGATCTTTACCGTCTTGTCTCCTGCGCAGTATCCCTGTGGAGGCGAGAATTTTTTTTTATATATAGATCGGATACATTAAACTACTTCCTTGCGGCCTAAATATCTAGAGGGGAGGCTTTGTCAAGATTGGCAATTAAATGAAAGTTTAATATAATCTAATTCTGAAGTTAAAATACCTCCCCTTTGGCATGCCTAACTTACAGAAAAATGGGTTCTTAACTAATTACTGGAGGATTTTTTTGCTGAGTTTTTTTTCTACATTCACACATCATTCACATTTCTTTAAAATTATATGCATAATCATTAATTCTAATCATTCAGCCCCACTACACTACACTAGTAGTCTTCTGTTCGCCACGGCACTGACTTGACTCGAAGTGTCCGTGGCGCACGGGCCCATTGGGTGGCGTGGAAGGTAAGGCGCGGCGTCGCGTTCCCCACGCGCCTCTCGGCCGATGGCGAGTCTTCCC